AAAATGTGTACATCTTAACTACAAAATGTGTACATCTTAACTACAAAATGTGTTCATCTTAATTACAAAATGTGTGTATCTTAACTACAAAATGTGTGTATCTTTCTACAAAATGTGTACATCTTAACTACAAAATTTGTGCATATGATCTATAAAGTAAGTGCATCTTAACTACAAAATGTGTGCATCTTTCTACAAAATGTGCATCTTTCTACAAAATGTGCATCTTTCTACAAAATGTCATCTTTCCTACAAAATTTGTGCATATGATCTACAAATGTATGTATCTTAACTACAAAATGTGTGCATCTTTCTACAAAATGTCACCATACCTACAAAATGTGCGCATATGATCTATAAAATGTGCGCATATGATCTATAAAATGTGTGCATCTTTCCTACAAAATGTGTAATTATAATCTATAAAATGTATAATTATATTTATATATGTTCAGTGAGAATAGGAATAGGAAGACAACTTTATGACTCAAGTTTTGACTCTACATAGTCCAATGAACATGATGCACAGCATTTGTCAAGTATAAGCAGACTCGGCAGACCAATATCACTTGATAAATGATTTAAGAAGTTGCCAGTAAATCTATTTGCTTAACAACAACATCAAATACACATAAGAATTGCTATAATGTCGCTTTCCTATTCCACAGTTCTCTGGTTATCACTGTATACCTAAACGTTATTCATACTTGATTAGACAAAACTCCCGTGGTGAAAATTAGTTTAAAAATAAGTTTGGTATTCAATTCAATGTTACAAAAAAACCCAGTTTTTATCTCTTTTGAAAATAAGTTAGTTCCCTATTTATCATTAGGATTTAAACTTTTTAATTTCAGCATTCATTCAGATAAATCATCTTTATATGCTGTACTTCTCTGCCCAATTCCTCACTATTCCGCGCACCGGAATTCCGATGGGAAACCCTAGCTGAGGTGCATGAAGACTGCGTTGGACGTAGAATATTCTGTTTTTTTTTCAGGAATAGCTGTTACACCATCCGCGTTGAGTTCACAGCATTTATGAGAAATATACACAGTGTTTGCTGTTCTTAATGACCGGTTTAGCTTATGTAATAAAAGAGGCGGTCCGAGTAGCCGTAGTACATTTGAATTTCCGAGCCGGGTCAACCTTTCCGGTCCCAGTTTGTACTGTACCTAGCTCCATGGACACCTGACTAGCCGGTGCAACAAGGTTGACGCGGTCAGACTTTAAGCTTCATATAGCTGTTGAATTTACTTTTACTAAAGGGGCAGAGATGCATGTGGTGGTTTCTTAGACATGTTTATATACCGTATATTATTTCCCCAGGCTGAATTTGTACTTTTAGTCGGCACTTGAACTTGACAAACATAAGGATAATTAATGGGTTTGTAACCTCGTGACAACTCTGTAGTTTTGATTTCATGCAAATTTATTTAGTTTCAAACATTTTTGTTAATTCTCTCAATGGCTATAAGATGAGTTTTGATTGAACTCAGATTAAATTAAACGTGCAATTTACTTTGATTTGACGTAAGAAATATTTTTAAAAATTTCGGGATGCAAGTATCACTCTCAATACCAAAATATTGCACTTTTAAATTTTTTTAAAACAACAATTTTTTCAATGCATGATTTTCGAATTTAAGTTTATGGCCCCACATTTTCTTTAAAAAATAGTTTTTTTGAATGATAGAAACCTTTATCTGATCGATAGTATGGAAGACATTGTCGTTTTCCAGGCTTAACTGTTTTATTTCTGATAATTTTTGCATGTTTTC